GTATTATACTTGACAAAGTGGAATCTTTCAAAATGCATCTTCAAAGTCCAAAATTCTAAACATCTAGTATTGCTCTCAGATGAATCTTTAAGGATCAAAATATGGTGCTATCATTTTTTAAATATGAAGGTATGTGCTTCAGAGCTTTCATCCCTGCTTTGCTACTTGGTGGGTCGCTGACCCAGAAGAAGTAAGTCGCACCTAATATGCATATGTCTGTTTTAGGACAGGAAATCATTAAGTAGTAAATAAGGATAAAGACAACAGCCCTGGAGCCTACCCCTTTCAAACAAATTAGCAGTGGCAATTCCCATATTTCTCTTTTAACAAATCCCACTTTTCTCAAGCATGCTGTTCAAAAGGACTACTTTGTTCCTTACATACCAGGTTGACAGGAGGCTTGGGAGTCCCACACATACAAAAAATATTATCATGCAGCTCAAATTGCAGTCACGTCTAAATATCATGCAACTGTGGAAACCCCTTTGTGGGTTTCCCTTGAAGCAATTGACTGCGACCCCCTTGCTATTGACAACCTTCTATGGATGCATCCTAAAGATAGATCCTCTATTTATAATCCTATCACTCGCCATTTCCTTAAAATCTGGGACTCTGTGAAATATTCCAGTGGCCTACTTTCACCTCACCTTCCCCTGCTCTCCTTTCAACATCCCGCCTTTACCCCTAGTCTAGAATCCCCCTACTTATTTCATACTTTTTTTGATAAATGTATCACACAACAACATATGCTACTTAATGAGCATGATGGCATAGCATTTCCTGATTTACATTCTAAGCATAATTGACCCTCAACTGAACATTTCCGCTATCTACAGGTTAAACACGTTATTCAATCTTGGATAAAGTTCCCCATACGCCCATTACGTATAAATCCTTATGAAAGAATCTGTAAGCAAGACCCTCACTCCCCAGGCTTCATTTCACTACTATACTTAATACTTCTAAGTGGTTCAGATCCATCCTGTCATGTCTATATGTGCCACTGGTATACAGACCTTGACCCTGATTTTGATGAAGATACTTACATAGTTACATAGTCAAGTTGAAAAAAGATACAAGTCCATCAAGTTCAACCTATAGAGATATGAAAAAAAAGAAAAGCCTAAACAGAACACTATGACCACAGTTACCCCCTGTTTATCAACATTAAACCTCATTTGCCAAATAGATGCCCAATCACACAGTGCATTCAGATCTGCTTGTAAGTTGGAGACTTCCTGTAAGGACTGTATTCCACTACATAACTTGGTGTCATCGGCAAACACAGAAATAGTACTTTTAATCCCCAACTCTATGTCATTTATAAATAGATTAAACGGTAAGGGGCCCAACACTGAACATTGGGGGACACCACTAACAACCTCAAACCATTCAGAGTAGCAATCATTGATCACCACTCTCTGAACACTTGGTCTCAGATATGGGAATGCACCAAGTCCTGCTCTAAAAACGCAATAGCTCTTGAAAATAATTATAAGGTGCTCCTCCGTTGGTACAGAGTACCTGTTCAGTTAACTCACTATGGTGCCTATATGTATATGTGGTGGACTTGTCCGATTGTTAAAACATTTTGGATCAAAGTCTATTACACACCTGGGCGTTTTACAGCGCGTTCCTACACGCTGTAAAACGCTCAACATGTGAAAACCAACTCTCAGGAACTACACAGAACATCTGTTCTGTGTTGGAGGGCAGGTTCCATAAAGAGAACCTGTCACCTCCAAACTATCACAGGGGAAATGTAATCCCCTATGTGAGAGGAATAACATTAAGTGGAAAAAGAAAATTAAAAATGTAAAAGGTTATTAAAAAAAGTAAAAAATAAGAAAATATATAAAAATGAAAAAGTAAAAAAAAAAAAAAACCAATCCCGCTACCCCCGCCATCTGCATGCAAATAAACGCATGCGTAGGATATTCTGCATGTGTTTTGAGATTGCCGCCGCCATTCCATGGTGGTAGCCAGGCAGCAGAATTCTCTTACACACACACACAATGTGCATTAAAGGGTAAGTTCATTTTCCCAGGTAATATGGAAAAATAAAATTACCCGATGAAATCTGGCCCCTTCTCTCCCAAACCGCCACCCCCTTGGGTGAACTTACCTTTCGGCGAAGAATCCCTCCCCTCCGCCAGTATGGGTGTACTATCTGTACCCCGTACTGCTGTCCAGCGCAGTCCTCCCCTATGCATTTTGAATTTCGCTCGCAAATTGCAAGCACTCATTGGTCAACGTGGTCAGATGACTGCTGTGACCAGTGAGAAGCGCTATTTAGCACAGTCAAATATGTTTTGATTAGGGGTGCACCAATACTAGTATCATTGCGATACCAAGTATTTGGGCGAGTACTTGTACTCACCCAAATGCTCCGATACTTTCCCTGATATTCGAACGTACATCGAGATGAAAATTTCCTCTGACTGGCAGTGCCGTAGGGGAACATGGAGCCAGCTTCCCGTGCAATCAGGAAGCCATGCGGCAAGTAATGACATGCCTCCTGGTTTTCTGATTGGCCGGGAAGCCGGCTCCTTGCTGATTGGCTGGAAAGCCGGCTTCCTGGCCAATCATCATCGAACCAGATTCCCAGTCAATCGGGTCATTACTCGCCAGGAAGCAGATTTCCCCGGCCAATCACAATCAAGCAGGCTAAACAACATGGAGCAGGCTTCCGTGATTACCAGGGAATCCTGCTCAATGCCAGCGGAAGCACCGGTATTAGTATTCAGTGTCGGCGAGATCCGATAGCAAAATATCGGTACTCGATACTGAAAAAACGGTATTGGTGCATCCCTATTTTTTTGTATCAGGACAAGTAGATTTTGCCCCCCGCTTTAGCCCATGGACAAGTATTATTTTTTTTACATTTCCACACCCCTGCTATGGGCATGGTTCCCACCTGGGCGTTTTACAGCGCGTAGGAACGTGCTGCAAAACGCCCTACGCCCAAAGAAGTACAGAAGCTTCATTGGGGCGTTTTGCCGCGCGTTTCCATTGGTATTCCCGAGTGTGGATCAGGGTTAACAAAGCGGTAACCCCGAGCCACACTCGGGAATACAGCGTACAGGTCTTACCTTGTCCGCGATCCCTGCTGTGTCTTTGGCGGCTGCCGACTTCCGGGTTCCGTCCCTTGAGATCGGCCACGTCGCAGGGGGCGGAGCCGGCAGGAAGTTTAAAAATGAAACAAAAAAAATACAAAAATGTTTTTTTTTTAAATAGAGAAAATAAAGGAAAAAAACCCCAAAAAATCATACCACCAGTGAAACGTGCGTTTCACTGAACGAAAAAAACGAGCTGAAAAACGAGCATAAAAAACCGCTCAGGTGTGAACCCAGCCTTAATGCCAACATTTCTCTTCATCTCCTGTTTGAAACTCACTCTGCTTGTGGTGAAAGGGAGTGTGCTCTTCTTTTCTCTTCTCCTCTACTTCTACATCTTTGTTTTCCTTTATCATTTCTTCTTTTCCCCTTTATAGAATTGCATCTTTTAATTCAAGAGCAACGAGCCTCTGAATCCGAAACCGCACAAAGAAACTGAAGAACGAGCGGCGGCTGTATGTGTGCCGCCATTTTGGACTATATCTTGGTATACCCCAAGATGGCGGCACCCGAATATGTGGGCGCTGCCATCTTGGTGTATACGAAGATACACTCCAACATGGCGGCGTGCAGGAGCAGAACTCGATGGCGGACGATTTGTCCGCTGCTCGTTCTGCAAATAACATCACCCATGCAGCGGCCATTGTGTCATGTAACGTTATGCACCCCGCTTCCAAGATGGCGGCGGGCATGTGCAAAACGTGTCGGTGGCCAATATGGCCACCGCGCGTTCTGATAACGAATTTTTATATGCCTGAATATAATTTTAGTATATTCGAGCATATAAGAAATCTGTTATTGTGGATTTGGACGAATCGCCGAATAACCTGAATACATTTTGTTGATTTGCAGGTTCGTCCGAATCTGAATGCACATGTCTAGTGGTACATGTGTTGTCTTGCATATGTGGGAACGCATGTTAAAAACACACTTTACCGCAATGTACAGGAGTGAACCGGCCATGCACATCTATGACTTTTCAATGACTTCCAAGGATGCTGCAATATGTTTGCATCTGAGAGGTGTAATTGCATTTGTGAACCTGATAAGAGTGAGTGGGTGTGACACATGGTTTTGTTTAAACCTGCAGATACCATTCAATGCATTGTTTTTCTTACATCTAGGTCAAACTGTTCTCTTTATGGCTTTGGTTATAAATTAACTAGTAACTGACATTATTCACAGTTCATCCTTTTATTTGCTATTCAATATCTAATATATATAACTGAGAATATGCTTTGCCCCTATAAGGCCTCTTTAACATGGGCTGAGCAGGAGAGGATCCATGCACAGATCCCCTCCTGATCTCAGCAGTACGGAGCAGATATCACAACTGTGGCATCCGTGCCTGTACAGTTTTTTCCTCCATCTTGCGAAGGTGCAATTAGCGGACAAAACAAGTGCAATTAGCGGACCCCATGTCAGTCTATGGGGAATCGGTTGTAAATTGACGTGTTTGTTTACATCAGATTTCCCCCCGATTCGGCATCTGGTCCAGTGAAACGGATCTCAGATCCGTTTGTTTTTTCAAACCTGGCCAGACGCCTGTCTGTTTACACATGGCTGCCCATAGACTTACATTGGGCATCCGATTGGGTCCATTTGAACAAGTGACAGGTGGACCGGATTGGACTGGCTGTGTGAAAGGGGCCTAAAGGTTGCAACGCAAAGATTTGATTAAAAAAAAAAATCCTTGTTATGGTTAGCAAACTTTCCCTTGTAGAACAACTTCTTTAGAGAACCTGATCAATTCTTTGACAAACACAAGTGTAGAAAAACAAGAATGAAAAAAAAAGTATAGAATGACAGCCTTAGCACTGTGTATTCTAAAAATTACACAATCATGAGTTTAGTAAGTACAGGAATGAGGAAGTTATGCATGGTTATTTTGGAGGAGGAGTAATGGGTATTGTGAAGCACTTGTATCTCTTCATATGTTGCTATATCATCAGCCATGAAGTTCCTTATGCAAATCATAGGAGTCCTTTTCCTTGCATTAGTGGATGGAAAATATTATGAGAGATGTGAACTTGCAATAGCCATGAAACGTCTGGGTCTGGATGGATATAGAGGGTACAGTCTGCCAAACTGTAAGTAGTTTTGTGCTTGTACATGGTCTTAAGATTCCTGCTTAGTCAGTGTTAGAATACTTAAAGTGACACTACACTTAGGAGATAATTCTTAAAAATGCATTTAAGTACCTTAACTATTAACAATACTGGACCTTATTTGTGTATCACTCGGCTGTAGATCCTCAAATCATCTCTGAATTGGTGCTGACGCTGTCCTTTCTGGAGGGTGGCTACTTTTGTTCCCCATGGTCCCTGTGTGTGTTGTAAAGTAGCCACCGCTCCAAGCTTGCTCCCATGATGGACTACAATTCCCTGTATTATATTGTATTGAGATTGTTGTCCATAATGGGAGTGAGCTTGGAGCTGTGGCTACTTTACAACACACAAGGACAGTGAATTCAGAGGTGATTTAAGGATCTAATGATACATATTAAATATTCATTTTGTTTTCTTCATATATATTCAGACTCCATTTTTTTTGCTAGTTCCAGGTTGCAATATTTTTTTAAGTTTAAAAGAGGTAATGTAGGAGTGTCCTTCCAGCGAACTGTTATTTTTTTATAATATAAGGCCAGTCTATAAGAAAGCAGTGGGGGGAACTTATCATTGTAAGATCTGTTTTATAAATGAATGCAGCTAAATGTCCAGATTTGCTGCTGCTGCTCTGCTGATCAGAACTGACAGGCACCCATGTGAAATTGGCCCTATGGTGTTAATTAATTTCCTCAGATGAGGGCTTACCCTTTAGAATATTTACCTTTTAAAGTGAATGCATAGCCAGAACCTTTTTTAAATTTTGAACAGAGCTAGGAAAGGTTAAAATACCTTTAATACCTTTGTTCTGGTCACCTCTGTCACTGAGAGAAAAGGGAAAGGGGAACCCAAAATGTTACAGCTGGCAGAGAAAGAGCTGATGCTCAGGGCCCAGTCACACTAGTTGCAGTGCGTTCCGGCACGAATCTGGCCAGAACGCACTGCCTCGCATTTTGCTGGGCAAGAGGGGGCGTGGCGGGCCATTGAAGTGAATGGCACCGTAGCCACGCCCTGCGGCCGCAATGCGATCGCCCGCACGGGATCGCAAGACACATTGTGCCTGCAGTCTGGTGCGGTGCGATCAAAATGCTGCAGTAAATAGTAATATTTGTGTCTAGAAAAATGTTAAAGCTGAACTCCACTGATTTATTTATACTTTCAATGGTCCAGCTTGGCACAATGCAAGTCTAAATAAATTACCCCTGGCAGGGCCACACGGATTGTATAATATATTGTGGTAGCCACAGCTACTACAGTGTATTACATCGTCTTTCAGGTCCAGGAACAGCCGCTGTGCAATTCAGAGGATGGACAGTGATGTCACAGCACCACCCCTTATCCAATCAAAGAATGTCTAGTATTCATTGAAGTGGTGAGGCGTCCTCTGAATGGCGGAGCAAGCGATCCACTGTGTTTTACCAGTACAAAGGAAGTAGCTTGGCACATCCACTTTTCTTGGACCCAGCGACGCTGTAATACACTGTAAAAGCTGCGGCTACTACCGTGTATAACAGAGTCCCCGTGGCCCAGCCAAAGATCATTTATATTTATGCCAAATAGACCAATATAAGTATAAATCATTTTTTAAAGCTGGAGTTCAGCTTTAGGTTTCTGAAAGCAAACATCCTCTGTGTTTCCCTGGAGTTAAAGTGAGTTATTTGCAAGCCAGTAATGAGTGGCCTCTTTTATTGTTCTACACAGGAATCTACATAGTGGCTACGGCACAGTGCAGCTAATTTCTTCAGGCTTGTTACTCTGGGTCATTGGTTTAAAGGAGAACTATGAGGTGGGTGCTTTTCACTCACAATGAGACTGTCACAGGTCGGCTCAGTAGATCGGGAAGTGAGCAAACACATGCCGGTGTTCGCTCACCTCTCGATCCTGTCACAGCTCTCTGCCGTGACAGGGGAGGGGCTGGATTCCCCCCGCCCCGCTCCGATCCGCCAGCGCTGACTGGTGGAACGGACAGGGAGGGGGCGGGTACAGCTGGCTTTGCCTCTAGATAGGCAGAGCCAGCTGTCACTCACGCACTTGGGCGGATCTCGACATCGAAGTTGGGATTCGCTCCGGCTGCGGCGTCTCAGTATACCGCGAGCTGTAGCTCGCGGTATACTGAGCTTAGGGTAATGGGAGGACGCACGTTTGTGTCCTCCCGTTACCCTAAGGAGAACTATGGGAAAAAGCCCTAACCCCATAGTTCTCCTTTAAATCTCATTTGGTTTACTATCTGCAGGGAATTTATATATTCTCCATGGGTTTCCTCCATGGGCTTTATTTTCCTTCCACAATCAAAAAATATATTGGTAGGCTTCCTTCCAAAGATTTTCCTGAGTGGTAGTGACATTATGAGCAACTTTAGTAAGCTGAGACTGATGTGGGTAATTATATACTACAGGATGTGTCTACATTAATAAATTCAGAAAACAAATAATAACACGATGATATGTTTCTGATCTGTAATAATAGCCTACAATATTTATTAATAGCATTTGAACAATTTCTTCTTAACGTTGAATACATTTTCAGGGGTTTGCACGGCTTACTACGAGAGTTCCTTTAACACAGGCAGCATAAACTTCAACCCTGGAGTCAACAGCACTGATTACGGTATTCTTCAAATAAACAGCCGGTGGTGGTGTAATGATTACAAAACCCAGAGAGCTCACAATGCGTGCAAAATTGATTGCTCTGGTAAGTTATTTGCTGTATGATATTTTCTCATGAAATAAGAATGTTAATTTTAGTAGCCTCTCTGCACATTTGTGATAGCGACACACATAATCCCAAGAACAACAATTTTATATACACTGAGTGGCCAGATTATTATGACCACCCCATCAGTATTTCGTTGGGCCGCCTCCACGAGATGACTTAGTTGTGCCGCCTCGTGACTCCACGAGATGTTGAAAGGTGATGCGAGGAATCTGACACTGCACTGTTGCCCTTCTGTTGTCTTGTACAAGTCTTGCCACTCTCCGTTCTGCCCTAACATTGACTAGTCGCTGACGGCCACAATTCGCACGTTCAGACCCAGATTTTCGGCTGACAGTCCAGTCTTTAAACACTTTAACAATGAGCCCCTCTTGAACATTTAACGAATTCTGCCGTTTTGCTGATACTCGCTCCATGGCTCCGAGCCCCAACAAACATCCCACGTTCAAAGGCTGTTAAATCGCGTTGTTTACCCATATCTTCAGAAAAAAATCACTTCTACTGTCGTGGTAAACAACCTGCTTTCCTATTTATAATGGTCTGGCCCTCCAGCAACTTCAGCGCCAAATTATAGCTAATTATAGCTAATTTGCCTACAAACGTCAGGTGGTCATAATAAACTGGCCACTCAGTGTATTGCACATCTAAGAATTTGTAGGCTGCAATATATTACAGTTTCTTTTTTGGGGTTAGATATACTTTAAACACCAAGATAAAAAGTAACTTTTTATAATGTTAGCTCCTGTCAAGTAAAAAAGTGCTTTTACTTTTTTTGGAATCAAGCTCATCCCCCATATTCAAAGCAATCCCATTTTTCTGTTGGGAGATGTGTTAATCCAGCCAGCACAAGCAGCAGAGGGTTAAGTACCTGTTGTGAATACATTCACATATTTTCAGCTACAAACTTAGCAATTCTGTACATAGCATTTTTCTTACATTTTGTAAAGGGTGGGGAAAAGTTAGAAATTTTGTTTATCTGTTTTTAAATGCTCTGCCCCAGTGAGAGATGCCTGTAGTTAGTTTGCACTTTCACTCATGAAAAAAAGCATACATTTTATAACATTAAAAAGGTTGTATTTAATATTCTTCTGCTTTAAAATAAACCTGTGGTTAGCTTTAAACTGTCACTTGCAATTGAAGAGGAACTTTACCCATATCTTTGAAACTACAACAAAGACACCTTTAGAAATGTTTAGAAATGACAATCAACAAACACATACTTCTAGATAATTGCCGGCTTTGTATTCTTCGCATACCTTATTTCTCTTTTCCTCCCCATTCTACTCACAGTGGCTACTTTTACTAAGGGCAGATTACTAGATCTCCCTTTACTTCCTGGAACTCTGGCACATGTGACTAGGACATCTGACCATGCAAATCATCTCAGAGGCGGAAAATGCCTTTCCCTGAGATCTCATGAGATTACAGAGGCCAATGGCACAGTAACTTCACTGATCAACTCATTAGGTTTCTGGCAGGATCAACACTTATTGAACAGATATAACAAAACACTTTCAATGGTATATTTAATGGACCAAAAGGGAGTAAATTACAAGCTGTGAGTTATCACTTAAAGTCTACAGCATTCAAGGATACGGTTGATATGCCAACTTGCATTTTAGGGCTTTCCACCCACTTTTATTCATTAACAACCACCTTAAGGGCTTGTTCACACGATGTCCGGATTCTGTCCGAACCAGAACCGTGCACCCAAAATGTATCCCAATGTCTCCCTATGTGTTTTATGGGCTACAGTTCTCACCAGCGCAGTCCGTTCCAGTCCGGACAGAAAAGTTCCTGGAATTCATTAGAGAGAAAAACCAGACAGAAAAAATACTGCATGTCACATTCTCTCCGGTCCGGAAACAGACTGGAAACGCACGAACGCGTCAAAGCGCAAAATGCTCCGAAAACGCACCACACTGCAGCTAACAGCCTATCTGAAAATATATTTTTAAAATAGTTCTTACCTTTTTAGATGTGTCTGTGTAGCCAGCCTTTGCAAGCATCTCACTCAATTTCCAAGGGACAGAAAACTCTGTCTGTCCCCATACAAAGACTAGGAACAGACTGAGCTTTCTTTCATTAACATACAATGCTTTAAGATCTTTAACTCTTTGTTAGGACAGACAGAGTTCCGCTCTAGTTTACTATAATGAAATCTGCCAGCACAGTACAGACAGATTTAGTTATGTTAACATTAACCTGTGTACCCCCCTTGGCATCCCAGGGGTAAATTAATTACAGAGAAAAACATTTATTTCAGAATGTAACATGCAAGCAGCAATTTTATTTTTTTCAAGCCATTTTATGTGAATGGGAAATATGTAACAAATATAAAATAGGTGTTATCCCAATTGTCTACAAAAGTGGATATATAGGTCAGACCAGACACTCTCACTCAGGCTGCTGTCTCCCGGTGAGGGGGGAGGTGTGGCTGACTAGTCTGATTCCCTTTTGTGGCTCTACAAGCACCTGATTCCACTGAGTCTTTAGGTGCGGGAAATCCCGCGATCGTACGAGAATCGGGCTGTGTGAATGAAACGTGGGACCGTTTCTACTGTACGGTCGCACGTCTTTGGTCTAAGGAGCATGCTAGAAAGCCAGCCGAAAATCTTACGATTTTCAGCTGGTTTGAATGATGCTCGGGAGACAAATGTCGAACAGGCCGGTGTGCACATGTGCACACTGCCCGTTCAGCATTGCGGTCATCGCAAGCCTGCTCCTCAGCGGTGCGGGCTTGCGATGATCGCAAGTACAATCTGCCTGTCCAAGATGACTAAGGTCTTGAGATGGTTGTAAAGTGTATGGCCACATTTTCACCTGAACACCCACGCTTTCACTACCGAACCAGCTATTAACTGCTGTCTGTCACAATGTTACATTGTTAGGGTTACATACACAGTATGCTACTCTCAATTTATAGTTTTTGCTATACAGGTCAAATGCATACACATTTCACATTTAGAATCTAGGACTAATAATTTGTACTACGTACTAATGATAGTACAAAAATGAAAATAAACTACATACAATATCACTTTAGTTTACAAAAGCGGGATATAAGTATCATGTTTAGTTCTCCAATCTGCTGATTGCAAATCCTTGTGAAACTCAGTACACTTCTGCTAATACCCAAGATGGCCAATACATCAAGGCTTTCACACTGTATTATTACTTTAAAATAAAAACAGAGCTGGGGTTAGTATAGACATCATGTGGGAAGATCTGAAGGTTTTAGTATAGTGCTGTGTCAAAGGGTTCCATATAATTGATTAATTAAGGGCCGGAGTTTGCCTACCCCTTGTGTACATATTCAGTTGCTTAATGAGAAGTCAGGGGTCATGTAGAGGATTTTGTTTTGACAGTTCATTTCATTTTAATATAGCAAATTAATATATTGCAAAACATCTACAAAAAAAAGTATTCAAACGTATTAAGCATGCGATTATTACTTCTTAATAAAACGGCAATGTTTCTTTACAGCCCTCCTATCCGATGACATCTCACAATCTGTAAAATGCGCAAAACGTGTTGTGGAGGATCCTAATGGTATGAATGCATGGTATGTATTAGATGCCAAACTTGAGTTCTAAACTGGCAATTAAATCAATTTGGACATTCGAGAGAAGGGCCTCAATATTAGATAAGAAGATTGGATTGTGTTGAATGGACACATTATTTGTTCCCTGGATGAATATATGTCCCATTGTTATGGACACAATTTGCATGTAAATGAGTATTATGGTGTATAAACACAGAAGACGTATTTGTTTATTAATTTATAAGAATATTGTTTTAGATATTTTGACTGGGGAATAGTTTATTTTGAACACAGTGCAGTTTTTGTTGAACAAAAAAAATAGACATGTGTATACCCGGCTTTATACTAGTACCTTGTCCTCTCTACTATTTCTTTATTACAAGCTCTATTACCTTTTTAATTTTCTTTTGCTATTCTTGTAAACAAATGTAAATTTGAAACCAGTACTTCCACAATTCACAATTTGTATTCATCCTACAGGGTTGGATGGAGAAACAATTGCAAAGGAAAAGAATTGTCTGGTTGGATTAAAGACTGCAAGCTTGACTTTTATAACTTACTGTAACTGAATCCTTTGCAGAGCATATTTTCTGTTGCTTAGATAGTTCTAGAATGTAGCCCCTATCCTATCTTGTATTCATGGCAAGCACCTGCTAAGTTACAGTAAAGTACAGTCATTCAGTAAAGAGCTTACTTTTAGTAAATGTGACCTTTAAATCTTCCCCTTACACCCTTCAGTGTAATACTTCAGCCTTCAGCCATGCTTCAGTGAGCAGCCCTACATGGTGTAATGTCTATACATAAAAACAAGCTGACTGCGACCAGCTCCTGTTGTGCATGTGTGCCACTCAGCCCATTCACTTCTGTGGCTGGTTCATACTCATGGCAGATTCCAGCCATTTAGCAGAGTACTAAGCAGTCATAGAAGTGAATAGGGCAAGCCAGGTGCAAGCAATGTATGAGTTGGAGGTAAGTGTTTAGGTAAGTGATTTAAACTGATAATGGCATTTAAAGGGCAAATTTACTAAAAGTGACATCAGTGACTAATTTTATTACTCCTCACAGATGTTGGCAAGGTACTGTGTGTGTGGGAAAACATATATTTTGCAAGCCACGTTGCCCAATAAAAACATACTTTGTATACAACAATTTGTAAAATCATTTAAAACATAAATATAAATATGACATTTTAAGAATTAAAGTAGATCTAAACTGTTAACGCTTTAACAGGTAATGTAGTTTCACAATTCTTTTTAAATCAAGCGTTCATGAAAATAATACCTGGTGATCCCACCATGAAAGTCCTTGTTCAGACACTTCCTGTTTTAGGGTGATGGCTATCTCCCAATTGCTCTCCTGTTTGGTTACACTGTCACATGAGCCTCCGGCAGAGGCTATCGGAGGCCATCATGAAACACATTTCAAAGGTATGGTCCACTGCTATCACCATCATGAAGAAAGTCCAGAACAATGATGTGGAGCTGACGTGAGAGTGAGTGCATGTAAACAGAAAGTGACTGAAAGAGGCTGAAGGAGATCAGCAGCAATGAGATGCAAAATAAATGTTTTTTAAAAAAGGAAACATTATTTTATGAAAAAACTGCACCTTCACAGTGCCTGAACAAACTAAAAGACATGCAGTTAGAGTTTTAGATCTATTGAGTTCAAGGGTCAATGTATTCATTCCATACTATCTATGAAAAACACATGATGGAAATTCAAACTGTACATAAAGTGGTCTGGTGTCAAACTGGAACAGAACATACTCACCATTCTGTTTTAAGTTTGACACATTCTCCTATATGCACTATGCAAATAACCAGAGCCAAACCCTCACTACATTAAGCTATTCTTTAAAAAAAACTCTGTCATTGAAACAAACACCAAAGCTAGGGATGCATGAACTTTATACCTGCAGCAGTTTTGTTCTTGTTCCCCATTACAGAGAGTACCGTAGTTATTTACTAAAAGATTCGCTTAGTAATTTGTAGCTGTGTTCACTTTCACTTTGCTTTTAGGTAATTGGATAATTGAAGTGAATCTTCAGTCAGTTTGAGTAAAGATTCTTAACCGATTTAGGAAATCAGCCTCACTCTCTTTAAAATCCTAAAAGCAAGGTTGTGGGTAGCTGGCCTGCCTGGCACTAGATAGTATAATTGTCATTTTTTCTAAAATATAAAATGTGGGCCTAGCACTGTGTAGAGCAGGGGTAGCCAAACTCCGGCCCTACAGCTGTGGTGGAACTACAAATCCCATGAGGCATTGCAAGATTCTCTCAGCCACAGACATGACTCCCGAAGAAAGATGCATCATGGGATTTGTAGTTTCACCACAGCTGGAGGGCCGGAGTTTGGCTACCCCTGGTGTAGAGCCTTGGCTAAACATGCTTGCGTGCAGTGATTCACAGAGCTGAACTGCTGAATGTGTGATGAGATGTGGGAAATGACAATGGAGTCACTGGAAGCTCTCTCTCTTGCAAATAAAAGTACAGATGCTCCAGGTAGCAGTGTAGGCTCAGTCTATTTTCTGTTTCAATACATTTTTACTAGGTGAATAATGATACACGCGTTATTAATTCAATCTAAATATGCATATGAATAATCCTAAATGAATTGTGCTAATAATAAATATTACAAATCTGAAAATGTTTTATCTGAAATACACGTCAATTAGCTTGTGACCTAAAATGGGTTACTTTGGAGGTGGGTATAGGATATAAATAGAGTTAAGTTGGAACCTCAGTACGTCTGCCTTACCATGGACAAAGTCTGTATGACGAAATGCATCGGGATTAGGTTCAGGCACGTACTGAGGTTACCCCAGCAGGAAGTGCTAGTGGAGGTCATCAGTTCCGACTCCGCTCCTAAGAATCGGTCGACTGTTTGTTTGCTACATGCTTATACACTATGGCCATCTTGCAAGTGTTTCTTTTTATCCCTTATTAAACTTAATGTGATGTACTTCACTATTGGAGTTTTTTCTCTTTTGGTTACGGTGATGGTCCTGTGTGGCATCTTGGAGGAATAGCCTTTCCGTCTATCTGAGGATCGCTCATCATCTTCTTGTTTGCACTGCCTGCCATTCTGATTTATATAAATCATTGAGAGATCTGGATATATTTGCCTAATATCGTGGAGGAATTGCTTGAAGCATCCTTTTGGACCAGTTGATTTTATAAAGACTATGTATTATCCTCTTATATATACTGCTCACTTTTTTTTTGTTTAATTATTGTAATCATATGTCTTATTAGTTTGATGAGTGGATTTTTTTATTTTTTACACGAACACTGTGGATGATTTTGTTACTTTCTATATGGATATCTATGAGAATTTTTATACTATTATGGACTATTAGTTTTGTTTTTCTACACTTCCTGGTTACATTGTTTTTTATGCTCTAGTGCATTTTTTTTCTATTTTTTCTATTTATTATTAGCACAATTCATTTAGGATTATTCATATGCATTTTTAGATTTAATTAATAGCACGGTGTATCATTATTCACCTATTATCACTTTATTAGCACAGCAGCTTGCCCACTTTAGGAATTATTTATTGTTAGTTCTACTACTAGCGCAGTGTACCACCTTTATCTAATACATTTTTATTGAAAGGTTTTGAGTGAGACAGCAATATACAACAGGATACAGTCCATATACCCACCACACTCAGACCCGCTGTTCCATCAATATAAAGTGGGTGCATCGGATGTTGACGGATGGCTACCACCTCGATACGTGAATAGAAGAATGGACACCGGCACTCCAAAGGCAAATCAAGTATGTCTATTTATTGACATAAATGCATAGCAAAATACACTCAGTACAACATTTTGGGGTCACACAGCATCCCCTTCATCAGGCAGAAACAAGTGATACAGATGCAAGTGAAAACACCTCAATATATACACACCAACAAGGGATAGGTCTGTTATCACTTGTTAGTGTGTTTATATTGAGGTGTTTTCACTTGCATCTGTATCACTTGTTTCTGCCTGATGAAGGGGATCCTGCGTGACCCCGCAACGTTGCAATGAGCGGATTTTGCTATGCATGTACGTCAATAAATAGACATGCTCGATTTGCCTTTGGAGTGACGGTGTCCATTCTTCTTTTCAGCAATATTCAACAGTTACATATAGAAGCGTTTGGACAGTAAATCACAGTTAGAATAGGAGATTAGAACACTGCCGAACGCCAGTGATCAGTATGATGGTTGACTACAGAATGTATACCCATAACAGAGTGCAAGAAAGCATGTAAGAGAAGAGAATCATGAGTGTAGCCCACATAAAGCTAAATATATGAATGAATTATCTAATGGAAATTGTAATGCACAGAGTGGGATAGGTTTGTAGAGATTGGGTCCAAACAAGAGTTTGTAAATAGGTCCAAAGTCACATGGACAACATGTGAAAAAAAAAAGTGAATTAGACAGTAAAAAAAAGAACAAAGTACCGTATTTTTCGCTCCATAAGACGCACTTTTTTCCCCCCAAAAGGAGGGGGAAAAAGTGACTGCGTCTTATGGAGCGAATCCCGACGCCCGAGACATGCAGTTTCGGGCGCCGGGCGAGTAGTAGGAGCCACTGCTTGTTTAATACGAGTGATCTAATGAGATCACTCGTATTAAAACCGAGCAGCGGCTACGATCGAGATAACCATAGAGCAGACGAAGAATAGACGTTCTTCGCCTGCTCTGTGTCATCACTGAGACCATGGCGCTGTAATCACAGCGCCACCTGTCTCAGCGGTCACTAACTGCAGCTTCTGTGACAGCTTCTGTCATAGAAGCTGTCACAGAAGCTACAGTCTCGAGTGCTCCATAAGGCGCGCTGGACCTCCCTGCGTCCTATGGTCCGGTGCGTCTTATGGACCGCAAAATACGGTAAATGGGGGCATAAATACTGTACCACTTGATGCTCTCATACAGAAGAGGCTCCTGGGATGGTTAAGTGTATATAAGAGAACCAACAAAGAGCGGTCAAAGTCAATAGGAAGATAATGCTCGAAACAAGGAGTCCAAATATGTTTCAACTTATGCATCGAATCCATCGCAGCCATTTTCTCTGAAGTAAAAACCATACCATCTTTTGTTTATTTTGAGCAATCATAGGCACGGAGAACAACCACACTTTGCCGAGAACCTGCTTAGACATAGTAAGCTAAAACGTTTGGAGGCGAAATTGTATGTTTGAACAAAAATCTGCAGGCTTCAAGTTTAGCGGGGCTTCTTTCCAGTTTTTCGGGATACCTTTGTCTAAAAAGATGTAGACTAATTGGTTTACATTGGTCCTATATGTCCTAATGTTGGACCATTTCCACCATATTTAAAAGAGGGTAGCAGTGTACTGACATCCCTGGGATTCATACTCGAAGAAGTGTGTACAGACTTCACAAAGTGTTGTGGGGCCATATGCCAGCGCATAAGTAGTTCAACATTAGACTCCACTGCCAAATTGTCTCCAGTCTATCTGCTCCAAATTACTCCTAAGGTCCCTTTCCCAGCATTTAACATATTCGAGAGTAACAGGAGCTTGATCTTCCAAACACGAATTGTAAAGCATGGAAATTGTACCCCTTAATGAGAGATCATGTAAGCTGATTTGTTCAAATGGTGTCAAAGTTTGCAGAAAAGAAGATTGATTGTGTGGGCAGGAAAGCTTTGATTTG